CCAAACAATATTTTCTCTCCACCTGTCCTACACAGACTTCGCTTTATGCTGCAGATCATGTTCCAACTCCACCTACCCGCTTAGAAAGCTAGCTCTAAACTCTGCTGCCAGTGGGAAGCTGGGAGTGTAGGTGCATTTTATGGTCGTTGTTGATTTTGTTTTTAAATCTGTGTCAAGGAAATTTCTTTAAAACAGTAGTTTTTACTTGAATGATCATAATTCACTGGGATGTTAAGCATACAGTGGATCACAGAACTTTCTTAATAATGGAACAAATCTGAAAATGGCTTAACTTTTGGCAAGTGACTGCATGAGTATACAAGTGTACCATATGAACAGCCCCCATTATCTGGAGGCATTGTGTTGCTATGATGTGAAACACTTTTTAGCAGACTTTTTGGATCAAAATGGACTAGGAAGAAAAGTCTGGCAATCTTCCTCTGAAAAACAGCTGGAGAAAAGCTTACGGACCACAATGGTCCAATCTGCAACCAATCAAGACAATGGTACAAGGCCAGGCAATCATTTGTTTTATTGTGCATGGGGCAGCCAGTAGTCAGAGGCAAAAACATTCCTATAATAAGGTCTTTCCCATTTACTTAAATTCTGAGGAATTGTCTTAAAAGGTCATAAAAGGAATATAGTTATAGCTAGAATGCTGGGCCATGTACATAATCCTTAGGAATGTAAGTACACTCATTGTTGATATAACTTGCCAGAAAAGTGGATTATGACTCATAGTAACTCTATCTGTGTCAGAATAAAACTGTGCTTCATACGGTTTTAATGGTTATGTCCTTACAGGTGCCTCAGAAGACTGTCAGGCCTGTCTTGAGGCACCTCTGGGATGTTTTGAACTATCTACCTTCTGGCTAGTAGTTGAATGCTTAACCATTAAGGACTCTCATGCTCAAACTCAAAAACTTAAACTCATTGCTGTCTATGAATCAGAACTGACTCATAGTTGACCATCCATTAACTTTCTGAGGCTATATGGACAGACACTGCACAAAATTCTCCCTTGAAACTGTTTGTGGATTTGAACAGAGACGTACCACTTTCAGGTTAGCAGTGCACCTCCCTATGGACTGGGCCACTAGAGCTCCCTAACACACACATTGTTGTTGTATACCATTGAGTTGGAACTGAATCATAGCTGACCCTCCAGTGGGTTTTCAGAGGCAGTAAATTGCACAGGAGGAGATTGCTCATCTTTCTCTTGTGAAGCAATGGTGTATCTGAACCATATACCTTTGTGTTGGCAGCACAATTAAGTCACCAACACTTATATTAACCCTTGAGAAATTAAACTTTTACAGGCAAGAAAACAATCTCATTCCAAGGACAGAAGTCCTCTAACAAAATCTTACATATAAAATATGTATAATCTTAGCCATAGAATAGTCAGAACACTTCTAAAAAACTTCCATTGAAGGTTTATGCTGATTTGAAATCTTGTCACATGAGACTACTCTCAACTGTACAGATCATTAAACAGTAAATGGTAAGACAAATAGAAGGTAGAGGCATAAATAACTACTGTAAGTCAGAAGGAATTATTCCTAAAGATTAAAAAGTTAATTGGGTTGTTTTTTTAAAAAAAATTTTTCTTCTTCTTCTTCTTCTTTTTTTTTTTTTTAACTAAAACTCTCCCCTGCTGCTAAGTGGATTACAACTCACAGGGACCTCTTAAGGTAGAGTACTCAAAGGATTTCCATTGCTATAAATCTTTATAGGAGCAGTTCACTACCTCTTTCAACTGCAAAGTGGCTGGTGGCTTTGACCTGCCTCTTTTTGATGTTAGTGGTCAAGCATTCTAACCATTATGCCACCAAGGGTCATAAAGTATCATCTGAAAGAGAAGCATGTCATATCTAGTTACTAGCTTTTCCTAGATTCTTTTAAAAGACTTTGAAAGATGTTAGGACATTATTTAAGGGTATATAATCTATATTGCTCTAAGGATTTCTGCTTTAATTATAGTTGAAATTAAGCAGAAGAATTTATGTACAGATGTAAAAGGAGAGACTATGACCCCAAATATGAAAGACAACCACAGAAATTTGAAAGGTCAAGTCACTCTATTCCAAAGTAACTTGATCCATCGCAAAAGAATTTCTACATTTATATTTTTGAGTTTTCAAATCAATATTCTTTGCCTCAAATGAAAGGACCATCCTGTTGCCATACGGGGGGGAGGGGAAATCTGATCTATGAATAGCCTCTAGGCCAGTTCTAGGTTTAATTTTGTCAATAAGTTCAATTTTGTTAGTGCCAGTTCATAAGCTTTGGATCAGTGAAGGATGACAATCGAAGGCTCTAACCATTTGTTGGCTGTGACTTCCTGTGCCAAATTGCATTCACTTCCTCTTCCGCAATGGTGGCGTACAGTTTTGAAGGTCTTTTCCCTCTATTGGAAGGCTTGACACTGCCATGATCTGAATCTCTTTTGTAATAATCTCCTCTTTGCAGTACTGAGGAAAAGGGATTCAATTTACCCTTTCTATTAGCAAAGACATAAATGTGTCAACATTAAGAAAATACTACAAGTTAAATAACATCTTACCCACCCCATTTAGGATTTAAGGGACCTATGTTATTGGTCCTGGGCAGATGTGCCATTCTCTACAGAATTCAACAGCCAACATTATGGAAATGTCGTGCGATATGAGGTGAGCTCTTTGAGTCTGCCCCCAAAAAGGTTCTAACAAAACAGCCCCAAGTGTTACCATTTTGATTCCACGATGGATTAATGGAAATCACATTCACGATGGAATGGTCCAGAAGAATCACAGTGATTTACCTGTTTCAGAAATTAGTTGGGCACGCTAGTCCGGCGGGAGGCACAGAACAAGGAAATGGAGTAACCAGCATGAATAATGTACAAGGAAATAGGAAAGAGCACATGAGACACACTTTATAAAGGAAAAGAAACGGCTCACAGGTGGCTGTCACTCCAGCGTCATCTTAGTGGACAACCTGATAAATAAACTGAAGTAAAAATCTTACCACATTAGACATTTATAACCTGTTCTCAGACCTGGAGGACATTTTCTGTTATATTTCAATGCAAAGTAATACCATCAGAATGAACTCTATGATTAACTTGTTTTGGAACCCAGAGGGAGTGAATATTCTTCACAGGTCCACAGTCCCTACCATCCAACTGGAAAGATGGGGCATGCACTCATCTTAATATTTGCTGTTTCAGGGAGGGTAAAGAGTCATTAAAAGCCTATCACTGAAGCACCTTATTCTATTTTATACCTTATCTTCCCCAGGAAAGAAACCACAACTTTTTTTTCCCCCACCCAACAGTTTAAGGCACTTCAGAAGCATTCTCTACCTTTCCCACTTTGTTGCCTCTTAAAATGTCCCTGATACATAGGCTTAACTCTTGAGGCTTATGGGTTACTTGAGGCCTTGTTCTGATTATCTGCGTAACAAAAATCAAACAACTGACAATTCATAGCAACACTGTAGTATAGGGGAGAAGTGTCCCAGAGGGTTTCCAGGTCTATAAGACTTCATAGAAGTAAACTGCCACATTTTTCTCCTGTGGAACACCTGGTGGGTTCACCACTGTACTTTCAGGCAGCAGCTGAGTGCTTTAACCAGAATGACACTGGAACATAACTTTCTAAAATTGTTAGGCAATTATATTTTTACTTAACCTTCTTACTTCTACCCTTTTCTCATTTCCCTACCTCGCTCCTTTGGATTCTTTAAAATGTTTTTTTAAAGCTTCTTTTTAGTAAGTAAAGATATAAAGGAGATCTATGGAGGGTATAAATGGCGGAGGGGATGTGTGGCGAGATCAAGGTGGACAGGGCACTTCCAGGGTCAAGTCAGGAATCACTGGAGGCTCTTCTTCTTACATTAGGACTTCTGAAAGCTGTGACTGTGATGCTGAGCCTGTGAAATTACTACAACTGCCAGCCACCACTAATGACTTTAGTTTCTCTGTTTGACAAAAGTGATTCACTAGCTTCTTTTATTCAGTTACTAGATGAGTCTGAATAGGGAAGCTTGTACCCATCAAATAAATCTGCTGAATGGATAGAAGAAATTAGGCGGTATTTTTATTATCTTTCAAATTAGACTTCCACAGTATAGAAATACTACTTAGAAACATTCTCCTTATGAACTTTAACCCAAGAATATTATTAATTGGGAGGAAAAATAAGGACAATGTAAAACAATGTTAGAGCCAGCAAGATCAAAGAATTAGAATGAATCAAATTTAAAATAAACCAGGCAACCCCAAACCATAATAAGAACAATCTGGAAATGGGGAGGGCTTGCATTACTCCAAAATGTCTTTACAGAAGTAACTTAGGGGCAGTGTTTATATAACACTGTACAAGAACAGAATCCTAAATTTAGTTGGGAATTAAAAGAACTAGTGAGGTGGAAGGAAAAAAATGACCAAAGTATTAAGGTTACTTCAACTACTTCTCACCTCCATTGATGCCCACCCTTGATCTGATTTTAGGAAACAGTCATCAAGTCACAGAATACTCATGCCCCACTCTTAATCCAGCAAACTGGAAGGAACAAACAAGTGTGACCCTAAGAGTGTTTATGCTGTTAACCACATTCTAAGAATAAGAAATACATTCTCTCAGACCTTGAGGGGTCTTTTACCATATGAGGAAAAATGTTCCTGGAAATATTGGAACCTAGGAAACACAAAGGCCACACCAAACAGGTCACAAAATAATTCTCAAGGATCTCCTACTATGTTGGAAGCCAGCTCCAGAGCAACTAGTAATCACTCTTACAGAAAAGATATGCCTTTGTGCTAGATCTCTGTATACAGTCCTTCACCGAGTCTTTAATTGAGTCTCCCAGCTAAGAAACAATTCTGGTTTCACAAATTTAATCTGAAGAATGCTGCCTTAACCAAACTGAGATAGTCATTCAGTCCAGGATTAAAGTCTCTCTCTTGGAATGAGCCTGCTTGATGGGAGAACCAGACCAGAAAAGAAATTTCTTACCTTCTTGGGAAAATGTCCGAGGACTAGGCTGAGGGCTGCCCTGGCTGTCTCGCTCCTTTTCTGAGGGAACTTTTTTCAGGATGGGTGGAAGAAGAGCCACTTTAGGGGAACTAGGACCAGATGGAGAGTCTGGGATGTCTTCTGTGGAGATACACACACACACACACACACAAATCAAGCAATTCTACTAACTGGATTCTAAGATCATTAAATGCAATAGCTAAAAAGGAGTAGAGGTGTATTATGGAATCTGGCTAAAAATGAGTTTTCTATCTGTTTATCTGAATAACACCCACAAACCATAGAAGCAAAGAAATATCTAATATACATGAAAAAGTTAGTCTACACAGGTGAGGGCATCCTTCAGACAAAGAATTTCAATGAACTGATATTTGAAAATTAGATCTGCAAATGAATCAAATGTTCTTTCTGCCTCTACCCTTCATAAATGCAGTTTAGTTTATTCAAAATACACAATATTTATTACCAAGAAATATTTATTTTCTGTCAAATCTAGTGACGTGGTTAAAATATGTGCACATGAGCATGCAAGTTTATGGACACACAAGTAAACTCCAAAATTACAAAGAATGACTTGGAATCATTTGTCTTTAGAAGCAGAATGGACTTGAAGATCGCAGAGCAAATGAAGAGATGAAGTGAGCTTGTAGTACATTTACCTGGCCGTGAGGCAGTCCTTGGCTTCTGCGGGATGCTCGGCCGGGCTGCTAGGCTGGGCTTGGGAGACTGGAGGAGGGGCTTTGGGCTGTTAGCTGTGCTGGAAGAGCTTCGAGACCTGGAGCCCACATCCACTTTGGGTTCTGCTTTGGCATTCTTTTCTGGTGTCCCCAGACTGAAGCGATTTTCTGTGACAACTGAGTGCAGTTTCAATACTATAATGAAAACAGGTACCAAAGAAGAACACTTTAAAATTAAAAAGTCAATGAAAACAATAATTTGTAGCTTGAGGAAGTCTGGAACAAACTGCTCATCAATTATATGTACATAAGACTAAATTTATTGAAAAGCAATGTATTTAATGGTGTAATTCTGATCTCCACTGACCACTGTACAAATAACAAGACTCATTTTATTATCTGTTCCATAATAATGCAAAAAGAAAACAGTATTTCTTAATGCACTTGAAGCTTTTTGATCTTGCTCATTTCTGGCCTAAGATGCCAAGTACAACCAACTGTTAGGTGCCTCAGTTATAGTTAATAATCCTTTGGCGCTCAACTCTGTTGACCTAGAATGCATTTGGAAGGCTGTGTGGATGGCCATCTTCCAGTTTTGGAAATACTGTCCCATGCTCTTGTCTCCATACTTACAGCTCCCTTAAGTTAATCAGACTACTGACAAAAGGAAGCAGGCTAAAGATGATCTACATTTCAATTCTTAGTATACCAGTTAGCTCTGGGGGCCTAGGAGTTGTGCTGCCAATGCAAAGTTCACAGTTCAAATCCACCAGCTGCTCCACAGGGAAAGATGGGCATTTCCTTTCTGTGAGACTTAATCCCTCTGAAAATCCACTGGACATTTCAGCTATGAACCAATTCCAACTTGTGGTATATAACAATGACCACAGCATACCATATACCATGCATAGTATACTTTTAAAAACATCAGCCATATCCACATAGATTTCTCTTTCCTTTAAAATCTCCATAACATGGGAATTCTTCTCATTGAACCAAATCATCAGAATTTCCTCTGTGTGGGAAATTGGAAAAGGTACCCTGTCCAGGCAAAGGTAACAGCAGTGGGAGATCTGTTCCCAGGAGGGGCAAAGTGCAGGGGTGTAGTCTTTTCAGTAAAAAAGGAGGAACACCAGCATAGAGGTCCAGTTTTGCCTCTTCATCTTTGAATCATGAGCAATCCCTAGAACCAGAAAGGAAATGTTTTGCTTTGTTTTTTTCCCCTAAGTGTGGGCATGGTAAGGGACTTACCTGCTCCACTTCCATCCAACCGTTCCATGTTGCTCAGGGATGGACCAGGAGAATCCAGAGAGATAGACTCATTCCCAAGCCTCTAAAAAAAAATCAAGCACCATCTCAGATAAGAAAGCACATTTATTTAATATGGAAGGTAGGTGAGGAAGCAAAGAGCATGAAAAATCAGAATATCATAACATAAATAATATATAGTGGCTCCTTAGTATTTCTCTCTTACATGGAGCTCGAGATTCTGCTACTGAGACAAAGCTGGAGAAGAGGATTCTGTTCTGGGTTTACAGTCCTGAACTGAGGTCTGAATGTGGCCTGTTCTCAGGAGCCACCCAGAGATCAAATGTGTAGAGGGTCACTGAAAGCTGTGGGCTTGGTTACATGGCCTCTTTCTCGTTGACAGGCAGGTTTTGTAGCTTTTAGTATTCCACGTCTTCTCAGGTATGATGGGGTGGCTGCATTCAGACACAATACTTTCTAGGGCTAGTTTCTAACAATTGAGTTTTAAAAGCAGGATAAACTCTTCCAACCTCAATGCATAGAAGATGTGAAGGGGGAGTGGGGGTGAAGGTAGCAAGGTGTCCCTTGGAAGAGTGGCAGCACCCCAGAATACAGATATCTGTTTACAGAAGGCAAATATGAGGCTGGCAATAATTTGAAATTAAAAAAGTATAAGTGCAAGGAGATTCTGATGACCAAGACAAAGATTAAATGCCACAGTCTCAGGGCTGCAACTGATAACTGAGGATAACTGATAACTGATAACTGAGGATAAGTTACCGAGCAGAAAATATGTATCAGAATGACTTGATGAGATTTAAAAAAAAAAAAACCCAAACAAACCAACAAAACCAAAAAACCAAGAAAAACAACAAAACTCAAAAACAGTTGCCACAGAGACACTCATAGTGGCCTGAGTGTTACAGAGGAGAACGCCTCCCTGGGTTTTTCAAGACTGTGACCTTTTGGAAGGCAAGTCCTAGATTTGTATTCCAAGGTACTTCTAGACAAGTTTGACTTATCAACATTTCAGTTTGTTTAACCATTTGCTTGCAAACAGTTTGCACTTAACTACTTATCTTAAGGCTGATGCTTTGAACCCAGTGGTGGTGGTTTTGTTATGTGCTGTTGAGTTGCTTGTGAGTCATAGCGATCCTATGTACAACAGCCCTATACTCTGCTCTATCCTGTGCCAATCTCACTGCCTCTGACACACCCATCCCTATTACCCCAGTCACTGAATCAATCCACCTCATAGAAGGTCTTCCCTTTTTGCACCGTCCCACCACCCTCCCAAGCATGATGTCCCTCTCCAAGGACCTCTCCCTCCTTACATGTCCAAAGTATGGCAGACGAAGCCTCAGAATCCTTTCCTCCAAGGAGCAGCCTGGTTTAACCCTCTCAAGGATGAACCTGTTTGTTTTCTTGGCAGTCCAGGGTACATTCAATACTCTTCTCCAGCACCACAGCTCAAAGGCATCAATTCTCCTTCTATCCTCCCTAGTCATTGTCCAACTCTCTGATGAATAACAAGTGATTGCAAAAACCATAGCCTGTATCAGACACACCTTAGTCTCCAGAGAGACACCATTGCTCTTCAGTACCCTGGAGAGGTCCCTAAAAGCAGACTTTCCTATTGCAATATGTCTTTTGATTTCCTGGCTACTGGTGGCAAGAGTGTTGACCGTGGAGCTAATCAGACTAAAGTTGTTAACAATCTCAATCACTTCACCATCCATCCTGATGCTGCCAATTGGTCCAGTGGTGAGAACTGTTGAAAAAAAGCCCTAGTGGTCTGCTTCTGTAAGGATTATATTCAAGATAACAGCGTGGAGATCTACTCTGTAAAATGTGGGCTCATCATTAACTGAAACCCACTCAAGAGCAACATTTTTAATCTTTACATATACATATCTATGCCTCTGGAAACTCTATGAACTTTGATAAATGACGATAGTTATAGTAAGGCTTCAGGCCTTTTATTTATATGGCCACTGAGCCGTGCTCGACTTGATGGCAACCAACAACAATGACAACATGTATATACACATCTCAATAATATGTAAATCACTGATGCTTAGGCTAAGTTTAAAAAAGCATATTATGGTAAAAAAAATAAAACAATCCATAAAGCTAAATAAAAATTAATTTTTCTTTTGTTATTATTTAATCTGATATAACACCAATGAATTGGGAGCCCTGGTGTTCCAAACTATGTTGAGCTGATAAGCCAGAGACTGTGTTATTTTCCCTGGTTTGACTTCACCAGCAGCTGGGTGGAGGGAGAAGGTGGGGAGCAGGATATGGGCACTCTCCTTCCACTATGATTTTGTTTGTTGAGTACTTTTGAGTTGGAGCTGACCCAAAGCTGACCCTCCAGCGGATCTTCAGAGACTGCACATCCTCCTCCACTCCCCGCCCCCAAGGGGCAGATGATGGATTTGAACTGCATGTGGAGCACTGCTATGAATCGGATTTCACACAAGAGCAAAGTGTTTGGGTGTTATTCTTAAAAATGGACACTAGAGGGAGCAAAGAGATCATCAGTCCAAGCCCCAAACAAACATGAAACTCTAAGGATTGTGTCACTTTGAGCTAATTTATACATCAAATCCAAAGCATATTTAAAAAAAAAAAAGGTCAAAACCCCCTTTAGCATTTCTCTTCCCACCAAAAGGCAGTAGCTACTGATCACTGGAAATGAATGATCTAAACAGCTCATTAGTGAACACAGCAGATTCATTATTGTTAGGGTTCGGGTTTGGGTTTTTTGTTGTTGTTTTTTTTTTTTTTTTTAAATCCACTAAATGTACTGGTGTTTGCTTGGGCGTTGGAATCACCAATGGCGCAGTAGCAGTATTTATTCAGAGTTCTGAGCGGTGACAGCCCCACCATGCATCTGTGGCTGAGTCAGCAGAACACAGGTGCCAGTTGTCCTCATCTCTAATAGTTAATGAGTGAGTTAGGAGGGACCTGTGAGTAGCCAACTGCGGTCCAGGCAGTCCTCAGATAATGAACGAGTTCCGCGTTTCTGTTGTTAAACTGATTTTGTATATAGGTCAGAATATTTAAGCTATATCTTTTGTCTGTCAAATGTTAGTCCATTGTGTATCTTCCTATGCATAAAAAAAATTAAGAAACACTTTCAGAAACACTTAACATATCTTCAATAGTTCAGTAATAACAATGCTTTGAAGTATGTTGCAAATTAGCACCTGTTCTTGTGATTATTTTAAGCATATTGATTTTTTAATATATAATATATAATATGTTGTTGTATATTTTATGGGAGTTTCTTAATTACAGGTGCTAAGTGATACACTGATAAATCAGGAACTGTGTGCATCATGTTGGTACTGGCAGAAAACCATAGTAAAAAGATGTGTAATCATGTAGGATTAAAGAGTTAATAAAAACTATTTAGTTGTTTAAAGGTAATACAAAATAACCCTCCATACTTGGTACAATTTTCATCATTTACTTCTGAAAATTAAAGGTTCCTTGGAGGTTGGTTGTGCTGTTAGGTGCTATTGAGTCAATTTCAACTCCTAGCAACCCTAAGAACAACAACTCTGATATGCTCCAGTCCATTGTTAAGAATCGCTAGATTAAATCATCTTGTGAAGGTCTTCCTATCTCTATCTGACCTCCATTATTCACAATATAAAGTCTTTTTATAAGAACTGGTCCCTCTTGGCAACACATCCAAAGTGTGGGAGATCAAGTTAAACAGTCCTTGCCTCTTAAAGAGCACGTTGGTTGCACTTCCTCTAAAACAGTTATTTTGGAAGTTCATAAGCTATTCAGTACTCTCCTCCAACACAACAATTTAAAGACATCAATTACTCTTCTGTTGTCCTTACTCATTGTGCAACTTTTGGATGCAACTAGAAAAACCTTGGGGCATGCCATAGCTTTTAATTTTGGTTTTAATATCCAGATAATGTTATCTTAAAATTTTCTTTCTGTCCTCTTGCCCCCATTTAAGCTGTACTGTATGTACTGTTACAGATTATTGATTGTAATACACATAATGCATGATCACCTATTCATTTCAGTTTGACTTTCCCTTCACCTAGTCCAACACACTTTAGTTTTTAAACTGACCTTCTTGCTCTTTAGAACTTCAGGTAAGTCCTGACAGTAGGTTTTTCCAAAGTAACATGTCTTCTGATTTCTTGATTACTGTTACCATGGAATTGATTGTAGATCCAAGTAAACTGAGATTATTGATAACTTCATTTTTTTCTCTCCATCTACTGTGATGTTAACTATTGATCCAGTGGTGAGGATTTTTGTTTTCTTGATATTGAGATATGATCCATTTAGAAGGCTTTAGTCTTCTGCAGGAAGTGTCTTAAGTCTTCACTTCTCTATAATACACATTTTTGTTGAGTCTTCTCTAGTCCTGATGCCATCTTTTCCTTCATGTACTCCAGCTTCCTGAATGATCTGCTCAGCATACAGATTGAATAGGTATGGAAAATGGATATAACCCTGATGCATACCTTCCTCATTTTAAAATATGCAGTGTTCCTTTGCTTTGTGTAGGTAATAATATATAAGGTTTTGCATGGTGACAATTAAGTATTCTGGGATTTCCATTCTTCTCAATGTTAACCGTAATTTCTTATTATCCACCCAGTAAAATGCCTTTGTAAAGGGAACTCTGGTGGCCTACTGGCAAGAAGCTGTGCAGCAATCGGGAAGGCACACAGTTTGAGGCCACCAGCTGCTCCATGGGAGAAGGATGGGCAATCTCTGTGTGATTAACTAGCTTTAAAACCTGCTAGAGGGTCGGTTCCGACTTGATAGTATGCCACCACCACCACCACCATCACCACAAGTAGACATCTTTCTGTTAACCTCTGCTTTCAACCAAGATCTAACTGACCTGGTATCAGCAATGATATCCCTCATGACTTGGCCTCTCCTAATTGCAGTTTACATTTCTGGAAGTTCCCTGTCAATGTACTGTTTCAGCCACTTTTAAATTATCTTCAGCAAGATTTTACTTAAACGTGATTTTAATGATTTTGTTCAATAATATCCACATTCTGTTGGATCGTCTTCCCCCCGCCCTTT